TGTTACTTCACATTCATGCATTCTTTATTAATTCATCACACAACTAGGGGGATAACTGTCAAGGTAGCCCGGGTGGGGTGGGGGAGGAGGGAATGACAAGGACACACTGCAGTTTAAAACTTTAGAACTTTATCACTTATTGAAGGCCAGCCTTCTGATGCTTGGGTAATCATCTGGGGTGGAGTGGCTGAGTGGCTGGAGGCCCCCCACCGCGTTCTTGGGCATCTGGTTGAGGAGGCTATGGAACTTGGGGAGGAGGGCTGTTGGTTACACAGGGGCTGTAGCGGCGGTCTCTGCTCCTGCTGCCTTTCTTGCAGCTCAACCATATGCTGGAGCATTTCAGTTTGATGCTCCAGCAGCTGGAGCATCGACTCGTCCCTTCTGTCAGCAATCTGACACCACCTATCCTCTTCAGCCCGACACTTGCTCTCTTCGGCCCGCGATTCACCCTGCCACCTCCCCTCTTGTTCATATTGTGCTTTTTTGCACTCTGACATTGACTGACTCCATGCATTCTGCTGTGCTCTGTCAGCGTGGGAGGACATCTGGAGCTCCGAGAACATCTCATTCCGAGTCCGCCGCTTTCTCCTTCTAATCTTCACTAGCCTCTGCGAAGGAGATACATTTGCAGCTGGTGGAGGAAAAGCGAGAGGTGGTTAAAAAGACATTTTAGAGAACAATGGGTACACTCTTTCATGTTAAATTTTGCTGATCACATTACACAGCACATGTGCTTTCGTTACAAGGTCGCATTTTTCCTCTTATATTGAGGGCCTGCCGGTTTGGTGTGAGAGATCACTCACGCAGTGCCAGGCAACAGAATTCGGCTTGCAGGCAGCCATGGTAAGCCACAGTCTTTTGGCTTTTTAACCTTCATAACATGTGGGAATGGTTTCAAGCAGTAGCACCCTCATTTCCCATACCAAGCACCCTTATGGGTTGGCCATTTAAAATGGGTTTGCAATGTAAAAAGAAGGGGCTACGGTTTCCAGGTTAACGTGTAGCACAAACCCAACTAAGCCCCCTCCTCCCCCACACCCAATTCTCTGGGATGATCACTTCACCTTCCACCCCCCACCCCTGACTGCGTGGCTAACGGCGGGGAATATTTCTGTGCAGCCGAGCAGGAATGGGCACCTCTGAATGTCCCCTTACTAAAATCACCCCATTTCAACCAGGTGACTGTGAATGATATCACTCTCCTGAGGATAACAAAGAGAGATAAGGAATGGATGTTGTCTACATGCCAGCAAACACCGGGACCATACGCTGCCATGCTTTGTTATGCAATGATTCCAGACTACGTGCTAGTGGCCTGGCGTGGTAAAGTGTCCTACAAATTAATCATTAAACACACTTGCTTTTAAACCATGTGTAATATTTACAAAGGTACACTCACCAGAGGTCCCTTGTGTACACTCAGGGTCTGGGAGCACGCCTTGGGTGAGTTCAGGGGTTACTGGTTCCAGGTCCAGGGTGATAAACATATTCTGGCTGTTGGATATTCCAATACTTAGCCCTGGTCTACACTACGAATTTAGGTCAAATTTAGCAGCGTTAAATCGAATTAAGCCTGGACACGTCCACACGACAAAGCTCCCTTTTTTTTTTTACTTAAAAGGCCCTCTAAACCGGTCAAAATGAAGCACTCTGGGATAGCTCCCGGAGGCCAATACCGTTGAATTCCATCCACACTAACCCTAATTCAAAATGGCAATATCAATTTCGGCGCTACTCTCCTCGTCAGAGGTGGAGTAAATAAACCGGTTTTTGTGTCTGTGGTTATATAGGCCCCCACCCTTAAAAGCACATATATCACCACCCAGCTCTCAAGGCAGAGTAGTTGCTGGCAATGTGCACAGCTCTGAAGGGCTCCAATAGCAGCACAAAATTTAGGGTGGCCACATGAAAAGTGATATTGATCAATATCGTTGTTCACAGCAGACTTATCACCGTATTGCCACCCCTACTTCTGTGTTGCTGCTCCACCTGGGTTTGACAGCCTAAGCATTGATCCACAACTCCCAGCTAGGCCTGTTCCTTCTTCATGAGCCCCAGCCAACTGGGGCCGACAGCAAGTGCTCTTTAAAACAAACCAAACAACCCAGAATGATCACGCCTCCCTTGACACATTCCTGTGCCTCCATTGTGAGGCTCTGTCCACACTTTGAAAATTGCTAGTGCATAGAGTCACCATGGGGATTGGTAGCCAAGATGGTAACACCTGCTCCTTTCTTTCTCCGGGATTCCCAGAGAAAATATCTGAGAAGGAGAGCAGAACAGATCCGATTAACATTAACCTTACAAAACACATTTTGGTGATTTCAGTTATAAACATTCCCTCCATCCTTCAGCCCCCACCCCCAGCGAATTCAATGAGACTGATCTGAAATTGGGCAGGTGGCATGGGTGATGGGTATAATCACTGAATTATTGATCCCTGAATTAACAGAATACAGGACCCCTTTGGATAGCTAAATATAGACTACTACAGTTACCCCTCTTAGAATCATAGAATATCAGGGTTGGAAGAGACCTCAGGAGGTCATCTAGTCCAACCCCCTGCTTAAAGCAGGACCAATCCCCAACTAAATCATCCCAGACAGGGCTTTGTCAAGCCTGACCTTAAACACCTCTAAGGAAGGAGATTCCACCACCTCCCTAGGTAACACATTCCAGTGCTTCACCAACCTCCTAGTGAAAGCGTTTTTCCTAATATCCAACCTAAACTTTCCCCACTGCAACTTCAGACCATTCCTCCTTGTTCTGTCATCTGGTACCATTGAGAACAGTCTAGATCCACCCTCTTTGGAACCCCCTTTCAGGTACTTTAACGCAGCTACCAAATACCCCATCATTCTTATCTTCTGTAGACTAAACAATTCTCTCAGCCTCTCCTCATAAGCCATGAGCTCTAGGTCCCTAACCATTTTTGTTGCCCTCTGCTGGACTCTTTCCAATTTTTCCACATCCTTCTTGTAGTGTGGGGCCCAAAACTGAACACTATATTACAGATGAGGCCTCACCAATGTTGAATAGAGGGGAATGATCATGTACCTCGATCTGCTGGCAATGCCCCTACTTGTACAGCCCAAAATGCCGTTAGCCTTATTCGCAACAAGCGCACACTATTGACTTATATCCAGCTACTCATCCACTGTAACCCCAAGTCCTTTTCTGCAGAATTACTGCCTAGCCATTCGGTCCCTAGTCTGTAGCAGTGAATGGGATTCTTTCATCCTAAGTGCAGGACTCTGCACTTATCCTTGTTGAACCTCATCAGATTTATTTTTGCTCAATCCTCTAATTTGTCTAGGTACCTCTGTATCCTATCCCTACCCTCTAGAGTATCTACCACTCCTCCCAGTTTAGTGTCATCTGCAAACTTGATGCGGGAGCAGTCCACGTCATCCTCTACATCATTAATGAAGGTACTTAACAAAACCGGCCCCAGGACCGACCCCTGGGGCACTCCACTTGATACCGGGTGCCAACTAGACATGGAGCCATTGATCACTATGCGTTGAGCCCGACGATCTAGCCAGCTTTCTATCCACTTTATGGTCCATTCATCCAGACTATATTTCTTTAACTTGCTGGCAAGAATACTGTAGGAGATCATATCAAAAGCTTTGCTAAAATCAAGGAATAACACATCCACTGCTTTTCCCTCATCCACAGAGCCAGTTATCTCATCATAGAAGGCAATTAGGTTACTCATACGTGACTTGCCGTCTTCTTCCAAGTTTTCAAAAATACACATTTACATTTCAAACTCTAGCTTATCTAAAGTGGACACACTTCTAAAATCTCTCTCTAAATGTTGACCCTGAGTCAATTACATGCAAGTTGCTTAACCCTTTCTTGCCATGTGTCACAGAAGTTTAGATCCTGTGTGGTTTCTTCCATGTTTAATGAGGTCAGACCTCCATATGAAACTTTTCCCACAGTCCAAGCACTTGTGGGGTCTTGCTCCTGTGTGGATTGCCTGATGTTGAACAAGGTTCGATCTTCTAATAAAACTTTTCCCACAGTCCAAGCACCTGTGGGGTCGCTCTCCTGTGTGTAAAGCGTGATGGCGCACTAGGTGTGACCTCACTTTGAAACATTTCCCACAGTCCAAGCACTTGTGGGGTCTCACTCCTGTGTGGATTACCTGATGTTGAACAAGGTGTGACCTTTGTATGAAACTTTTCCCACAGTCCAAGCACTTGTGGGGTCTCTCTCCTGTGTGGACTGCCTGATGTTGAACAAGGTTCGACCTCCTTATGAAACTTTTCCCACAGTCCAAGCAACTGTGGGGTCGCTCTCCTGTGTGTAATGCCTGATGGCGAACTAGGTGTGACCTCTGAACGAAACTTTTCCCACAGTCCAAGCACTTGTGGGGTCTCTCTCCTGTGTGGATAGCCTGATGTTGAACAAGGTCTGACCTTTGTATGAAACTTTTCCCACAGTCCAAGCACTTATGGGGTCTCACTCCTGTGTGGATTGCCTGATGACGAACTAGGTGTGACCTTCTTTTGAAACTTTTCCCACAGTCCAAGCACTTGTGGAGTCTCTCTCCTGTGTGGATTGCCTGATGACGAACTAGGTGTGACCTTCTTTTGAAACTTTTCCCACAGTCCAAGCACTTGTGGAGTCTCTCTCCTGTGTGGATTGCCTGATGACGAACTAGGTGTGACCTCTGTATGAAACTTTTCCCACAGTCCAAGCACTTGTGGAGTCTCTCTCCTG